CATTTAGTGACTGTTCAAAGTTACAATGGCACTGAAAAAAAGTGACTTATGACCATTTATCATGCTTACAACCGTTGCAGTAGGCCCATGGACACATGATCAAAATCCGAACGCTTGGCAGCTGACTCATATTTATGACGGTCATGGTGTCACTTGATCCACTTTTGCGACCTTTTGACAAGCAAAGCCAATGAGGAAACCAGATTCACATCACAACTGTGTTGTTGCAGGGATTCACTTAACAACTGTGGCAAGAAATGTTGTAAAATGGGGCAAAATTCATTTAACAGTTGTCCCGCTTAGCAACGGAAATTTTGGGCTTGATTGTGGTCATAAGTCGGGGACTATCTGCACTTTCATGCTTATCTGTTGAAATTTAGAATGGTCAAAAGATGGGCTGTATTTTCATGAATTTTCATTCTTTTTTTTCTGTTTCTGCTTCGTCTTTAGCCTTATCATTCAAGACCTGTTGGCCACGGAAGAGGAATACGTCAAGGATCTTCTGTTCCTCCAAACGCACCACATCCAGTTCACAGAGACTTGTCCTGCCGTTCCTGTTGTTGTGTCCAACCAGAAGCCCGTTATTTTCAGAAATATTACTGACATAACGCACTTCCATTCCAAGTACGTAGAGGGGAGGCGGATATAGAGCCATCAAACGGCTTTTAAAAGAATAAAGTATTCTATAAAAAGTACTTTAAATAGGAAGGCCAGCTGCGCCCCTGTGTGCCACTATCCACTCAAGCAAAGTTTTATAAAATATATTGATATTTTATAATATATGATATATTAGCCACAATATTATTATTATTTTGCTTAACAGGTAGTCCTCAACTTATGACCACCATTGAGCCCCAAATTTTTGATGCTCAGTGAAACATTTGTTAAGTGAGTTTTGCCCCATTTTTATGCCCTGTCTTGCCACAGTTGTTAAGGGAATCACTGCAGCTGTTCAGTTAGTAACACAGTTCAGTGAATCTGACTTTCTTTCTCAGAAGATCACAAAAGGGGATCATGTGAGCCCAGGACACAGCAACCGTCATAAATATGAATCAGTTACCAAGCGTTCTTAATTTTGATCACGCGACTCTGTGGATGCTTCAATAGTCATAAATGTGAAAAATGGTCATGTCACTTTTTTTCAGTGCCGTTACAACTTTGAATTGTCACTAAACGAACTGTTGTAAGCCGAGGACTACCTGTACTGGGGCTAATTCTTTCTTCTATTGCGATCATTTAAGTGTAGGGCCTTTTCAATGTTGGCACCCAGAATCTTGTTTCCTGGGGAAACAATTTTCTTTGTTTCTCTTGGTGTCTTAAGGACTTGTTTCCAGTCTTGTTTTATTTATTTATTTCAGGGCTTGTTTTATTTCTGCCGTACAAATGGCAGAAATAAAAACAGATATAAAAGACTTTTTTTTGACCCTGTGGGTTTTTAAAAAAAAGGCATTTGGGCAAGGCAAGTCAGATTGTTGAATGACAGAAGATGCTTCAGCTGGAGAAGAAAGCCAGGAATTGGAAGGATCATACAATCACGGGGCTGGAAGGGGCTTTAGAGGTCTTTTAGTCCACCCCTCTGCCCACATCTCTCTCTCTCTCTCTTTTTTTAATGTTTCAATATGTTTTATTTTCATTTTCATTTCATACAGTCACATATATACTGTGCATAACCGGGGCCATATAACATTGAGCAATAAACACAGCCATCCTTGTCAACAATACTCCCCAAAATACAAACCCAATATACCACTTCAACCCTCCATACACCCTTTCTTTCGCCCCCCTCCAACTTTCCTTTCTCCCCTCCATCATTCCCCTCTACCCTACTTCCCCTCCCCCTCTATCACTCCTCTCTCCCAATACACTCCCTCCCTTCCACCTCACCCTCCTTCCGATCCTCTCTCCCACCCTCTCTACCCCTCTTTCTTCTTTCCCTCTGCTCCTCCCTTCAGTGTATTTCTACTATCTATCAATATATTCAGCTTGTCCTATTTTTACACTAAAATTAAAAAAGCAACAGTATACAAGTACAATCATGTTACTTTAAAACCCTCTGCCCACATCTCATGTTCCGCTCTGCTATTCCCGCAGCACCTTCTTCCCAGAGCTTCAGAAGTGTGACACAGATGATGATGTGGCCATGTGCTTCCTTAAAAATGAAGCCGAATTTGACAAATACATCACCTACTTGGTAGGCCGGATTCAAGCCGAGTCCATTGTGGTCAGCAAGGCAGTTCAGGAGTTTTATAAGGTGAGGCCACCCTCAACTGAAGGGCTTTTCTGCTGAACTTTTCACCAGTGTGAAAAGTAATGACCCAGAATCCTTTGGAAATAGTCCTACGTTTGTGCATCAAATTGGTGAACCAATTTGCTCTAGTGGTGAAGGCACCATGCAAGAAACCTGGGGATGGTGAGTTCTAGTGCCATTTTAGGCATAAACGTCGACTGATTTTGCCACAATCACCAGGAGACGGTGAGTTCTAGTCACCACCTACAGTTCTAATCCCACCTTAGGCATGAACCATAAGCTGCTGGGTGCTTCTGGGCCAATCACCAGGACACAGTGAGTTCTAGTTCTGCCCTAGGCATACAAGCCACCTGGGTGACCTTGGCTCAATCACTAGGTGATGGTGAATTGTAGTTCTTAGGCAATGAATGCCAACTGGATGATTTTAAGCCAGTCCCTCTCTCTCGGCCCATCTCATCTCACATGTTTGTTATTGTTAAGGAGAAAATAGGCAGAGGAAACATTTTTTTGACATGTTTGCCATCTTTGAGTTATTTATTTTTTTTAAAAACAAAGGCAGGATTAAAAATAAAGAATTATCCATTTCTGTAGCAAGCCAGAGCAATATGTGGATAAGATCCTTCTACTTGCATGGTGCTGAAATGCTAAAAAAAACAAGTTCCTAACTCTTAGTGAAGAAAGTCTTCTTAGAGCAAATAATGGAGAAATTCAGTGTGAACGTAGGATAATTGTGTGGCCCATAAAGGAATGAGGGGTTTTCCTGGATGATAAGCAAACTGATTGAATAAATCCCTTACTATTATGTTTCTCTCCCTCCAGCGATACTCTGAGGGGACATTGGCCAGTGAGGATCCTTCCCTCCCACCGATACTCCCTCTGCAACACTATCTAGAGAGACCCATAAACCGGATCCAGAAATATCAAACAACAATCAAGGTGAGGAGCACAACTTTTAGCCACTTGTTGGTTGGTAGCAGAACAAAACCGGGTCTTACGTTGCTGAGGAAGCTAGCACAGGAAGTCCTTGAATTATGACCACAATTGAAACCAGAATTTCTATTGCTAAGCAAGGTGGTTGTTAAGTGGCTGGCACCCGATTTTACAAGCAGTTTTGCCATGGTTGTTAAGCGAGTTCATGGTGGTTGCTAAGTGAATCTGGCTTCCTGCTATGAATTTTACTGGTCAGAAGCAGGCTAGTGGTCACAAATGGTGTTCACATGACCCCAGGATGCTACAAGTGTCATAAATACATTCTGATTGCCAAGTTCCCAAATTTTGATCATGTCACTGAGAGGATGCTATGAGGGTCGTAACTTTGAGGAGTACTAACTAGCCTTTTTTTCAGTGTGAATGGAGCAATGGAACAACGAACCATTGTTAAATGAATGGTTGTAAATTGAGGATTACCTGTACAGGTAGTCTCCAGGTAAAAATAGACTAGGGCTGTTGTTGCTAAGGAATGCAGGGTAAGATGTATGGGGGAGGGGCCTGAATGCTCTTGGTGGGGGCTAGGGAGGGCAGGTCAGTTAGTAGCCAGAGGGGGAGGAGAAGGGAAGGAGGGAGGGAGGGAGGAAGATGGAGGGAGGGAGGGAGAAAGGACAGGAGGAAGAAAGGAAGGAAAGAGAGGGAGGGAGGAGGAAGTGGAAAATGAGAGAAGGAGGAAAATGGGAGGAAGGGAGGAGTAAGAGAAGGAGAAAAACGGTGAGGGCCTTAGTGATCTCTGAGCTTGGCAGGTTTTTTGCAGATGTCTGTTGACCCATCTCGATAATATCAACGTTAGAAGGGAGTGTGGTTTGTGGGGAGGAAGAGGAAGAGGACTGTGGGATCCTTGGTACTCTGAGCTTGGTGGTTTTTTTGCAGACATTTCGTTACCAAGCTAGGTAACATCATCAGTACTAAAAGGGAGTGGTTTTTCCTTGCCAATGTTGGTGGAAATGGTCAGTGGTTCCTCAATAGTCAATAGTGACAGTCTTCCTTCCTTCCTTCCTTCCTTCCTTCCTTCCTTCCTTCCTTCCTTCCTTCCTTCCTTCCTTCCTTCCTTCCTTCCTTCCTTCCTTCTTTTCCCTCCTTTCCTTCCTTTCCATTTCAACCACATTTCTGCTGCAAATGTTCATCTAGACACGAAGGAGGCAAATGGTACCTTTCCTTATATTCACAGGACATGATCCGAAACAAAGCAAGGAACACTCAAAACTGTGCCCTTCTGGAACAGGCCTACGCCATTGTTTCTGCACTCAACAGGCGAGCGGAAAACAACCTTCATATTTCTCTCATTGAGAACTACCCTGGAACTCTGGAAATCTTAGGGGAACCCATTCGGCAGGTAAATGAAAGATGGGCATCTCATTCTGATAACACATCTGCGTGCTAAGTCTCTGGCTCTTTCTGCTGAACCCCAAAATATGTTTTTAAATTTGATCCTAGTGCTTTTCAGTGGACATGTTTTTTTAAATTTTTATAAAATTATAATCAGCGGCCCAAGTCATGTTACTGTGAGATTAAATGGCTAGTTTCTAGTGGTTAAGGCACCAGGCTAGAAACAAAGAGACAGTGGAGTTCTAGTCCCACCTTAGGTACAACTTTGGGCCAATCATTAGGAGTTGGTGGATTCTAGTCCTGCCCTAGGCATGAAAACTTGGTGGGTGACTTTTCCCAATCACCAGGAGGTGGTGAGTTTTAGTTCCACCTTAAGCGCGAAAGATGGCTGGGCGAATTTGGGCCAGTCACCAGGAGAAGGTGCATTATAGTCTCTCCTTATGCATGAAAGCTGGCTGGGTGACTTTGCAAAGAGGAAATCAGACTTAATAATCATTCCTTTCTTTTCAGCTGATAGTTTGATAGAGGTTTCAGACAAATTACTCAAACTCTAATCATGACTGGAGATAAAATCTGTTGCTCCAAAGGGCAGATCCAGAAGGAAAGGATCCAAACTCTTGCTAGATTACAGTAGAACTTTCTGATGCTGTGACTTATAAAGCCTGTGAAACTTTCTGCCACGTGTTTTGCTATTTTTTTCCAGGGACAGTTCATTGTGTGGGAAGGTGCTCCAGGGGCACGCATGGCTTGGAAGGGACATAAGCGCCACGCCTTCCTCTTCAAGGGTTACCTGCTCGTGTGCAAGCCAAAACGAGACACGAAGATGGATACTTACAGCTATATTTTCAAGAACATGATGAAGGTTGAATATGTCCTTCCTGAATAGTTGTCTTTCTCTGACTACTTTTTGGTATCTAACTGAAACTAGGTTAAGCTGTCAGAAAAATACTGAATTATCCATTGATGTAGCTTCAGAGGTTCAAATCTCACAGCAATGCAGCTAATTGCATCTGGTGGTTAAGGCATCAGACTAGCAACTGGGAGGTTGTGATTTCTAATCCTGCCTTAGGCATGAAAGTAAGTGGGTGATCTTGGAAGAATTGCCAGAAGAGAGTGAGTTCTACTACCAATTTAGGCATAAGAAAGCTAGTAGGGTGACTTCGGGTCAGTCCCTCTTTCTCAACTCAGCCCACCTCAAAGGGTTGTTGTGGTGGGGAAAATAGGAGGAAGAAGTATTAGGTATCTTTGCTGCCTTGAGATATTTGTAAAAATAATGAAGGCGAGAGAGAGAGAGAGAGAGACAGACAGACGGACGGACGGATAGACAGACAGACAGACAGATTGACTCACTGACTGACTCACTCACTGACTACTTTACAGCTAGTCTTCAATTTATGGGCTCAATTGAGTCCCAAATTTCAGTTGCTAATCAAGGTAATTGTTAAATGAGTTTTGCCCCATTTTATGACTTTTCTTGCCATGGTTGTTAAGTGAATCCCTGCTGTTGTTAAGTTAGTCACACAGTTGTTAAGTGAACCTGGCATCCACATTGCTTTTGGTTGTCGGAAGGTTGCCAAAGGGGATCACGTGACCAGCAGACACTGCAGCCATCAGGAATCCATGCCTGTTGCCAAAGACCTGAATTTTGATTGTGTGACATGGGAAGCTGCAATGATCATAGGTGTAAAAAATGGTCCTTGGTCACTTTTTTCACTGCTGCTGTAACTTTAGACCGTCACTAAACAAGTGGTTGTAATTCGAGGACTACCTCTGTACAGATGTAAGGTGCATTGCAAATGTGTGCCTGATCCCGGCTGAATTGTAACCTTGGTTTCTGATTGCTCAGCTATCTCACATCGATGTGAATGACCTGATTGAAGGAGATGACCGGGCGTTTGAGATCTGGCACGAACGGGAAGATTCGGTCCGGAAGTATCTGTTCCAGGCGCGCACCGTTATCATCAAAAACTCATGGGTGAAAGAGATCTGTAGTATTCAGCAACGGATCAGTCTCCCATTATGGGGTGAGTAGAACTCAAGACTTCAGTTCCTCAAGCTTAATTTTTGCTGCTTTTGCATGCAGTGCTTCTCTCGGGAGACCGCTTAAGGGATGGGACTAGAAGTCTATCGTCTCCTAGTGAATATCAAATCCGATTTTTGTTTTCTGCTTCAGATGCACCTGATTTTGAAGAGGAACTGGCGGACTGTACAGCGGAACTGGGCGAAACTATCAAGCTAGCCTGCCGAGTCACAGGAACCCCTAAACCAGGCATCTCCTGGTATAAAGGTACAACCCGCCTCAGTTCCTCCATAATTAAGAACGCAGAAAGACGCAGTAGACTTTTGAGCAGGGACACTACTGGTAGTCCTCAACTTATGACTGCAACTGAGTCCAAAATGTCTGTGGCTAAGTGAGACATTTGTTAAGTGAGTTTTGCCCCATTCTAAGACCTTTCTTGTCGTGGATGTTAAGCAAATCGTCGCAGCTGTTAAGCTAGTAACACGGTTGTTAAGCGAACCTTCCCTATTTGCTTGTCAGAAGGTTTCAAAAGGGGATCACATGACATCAGGACACTGAAACCATCACAGATACGAATCAGTCGCCAGGCACCTGGATTTTGATCATGTGACCATGGGGACTTTCACGCTTACAACCGCTGCAAATGGTTGTCAGTGTAAAAAAAATGGTCGTAAGTGACTTTTTTCAGCGCTGTTGTAATTTTGAATGGTCACTAAATGAACGGTTGTAAGTTGAGGATTGCCCGTAAAGCCTTGTTGAGTGATACCAGCTATGCAGATGAATTTTTCCTTTAATTTAGTTTTTGCTTATCACTTCTCGACTTATGACCAAAATTGACCCCAAAATTTCTCTCGCTAATTAGAACATTTGTTGTGAGTTTTGCTCCATTTTACGACCATTCTTGCCACCATTGTTGTTAAGTGAACCACTGCTGTTATCAATTTAGTAACACGGTTGTTAAGTAAATCTGGTGTCCCCGTTGACTTTGCTTGTCAGAAGGTCGCAAAAGGGGATTGCATGCCCCCCGCCCCACCCATGGGACACAGGGACCGTTATAAATATGAACCAGTTGCCAAACATCTGAATTGAATGGAGGTACTGCAGTGGTCATAAGTGTGAAAAACCATCATAAATCCTGTAACTTTGAACAGTCACTAAATAAACTGTTGTAAGTCGAGGATTGCCTGTATATTCTTCATCTCCCTTTTCTCATCTTTGTTTCCCAATAATAATACTGTACTGTATGCTAATGTTAACATGAACTTATCTCATTGGCAGGGGTGGGCTTCAAAAATTTCAGCAACGGGTTCGCTTCCCCTTTGATGGGTGGGTAGGACAACGGGACCACCTGTTGTCAAAATAAATAAGGGAAATTTATTTTACAATCATATTTAACTCTGAATCCAGTCCCACGTTCACCAAATGGTATCTTTCTACCTCTTGCTTTGCAGATGGGAAACCAGTTGAAGTGGATCCTCACCACATCATCATAGAAGATCCCGATGGGTCCTGCACATTGATCCTTGATAATCTGACCGGAGTGGATTCAGGGCAATATCTGTGCTATGCATCTAGTCCAGCTGGCAGTGCCAGCACCCTTGGGAAAATTCTTGTCCAAGGTACCAGCACTATACAAAGAAACACGCAGATCCCCAAACGTACACATGGAAGCATACACATGGGCAACCTTAAAAGTCCAAAGAGAAGTATCTTTCATAGTTCCACACACTAGGCATCCAATCAGCTAGTACGGCTTTTGGGGTGTAATGGAAAAAGGAAGGAAGAGATGGTTGTTACACAACACAACAATAGCAATAGCAATAGCAATAGCAGACTTATATACCGCTTCATAGGGCTTTCAGCCCTCTCTAAGCGGTTTACAGAGTCAGCATATCGCCCCCAACAACAATCCGGGTCCTCATTTCACCCACCTCGGAAGGATGGAAGGCTGAGTCAACCTTGAGCCGGTGAGATTAGAACCGCTGAACTGCAGATAACAGTCAGCTGAAGTGGGCTGCAGTAGTATGATTTCCCATCACAACAGAGGATGGGAAAAAATAAACCCACTTTAAAAATGGGACAAAAAGAGAGAGAGAGAGAATTGTGTGTTGGTGGAGAAGATTTTGATATAATGAGGGACAGTTTGGATTAGTGATGAAGGCAGTAGGAGTTCTAGTCCGCCTTAGCCATGAAAGCCAGCTGGGTGACTATGGGCCAGTCACTAGGAGACTGGGACTTCTAGTCCCATCTTAGGCAGGAAAGTTAGCTGAGTATCTTTGGTCTGTTCTCTTTCTCTCTCAGCCCAACCCACCTCACAAGGTTATTGCGGAGAAAATAGGAGGAGGGAAAAGGTGTTTTGGATATGATCTGTGCCTTGAGTTATTTGTAAAAACAATAAAGGTGGGATACAAACAAACAAAAACAAACAAATGTCTCTTAGATGCACCATGCTACTGGATGTAATGTGGGCTTACATCTCTTTTTACAAAGCTTACAACTTCCTCATGGTATATATATTTTAATTTCTAGTGCCTCCTCGGTTTGTGAACAAGATGAAACATGCCTATTACGCCAATGGTGAAGACGCACAGTTTACTTGCACCATCGAAGGGGCACCGTACCCCCAAATCAGGTAAGGGAATAATCAAGCCCATGCTCCACAGCGTTTTTGAATGGGACTTTCCAGCCTACAAAGTCTTATTTTACATGGAGTCTCCTACTTACAACCACAATTGGGACCTGAATTTTTGTGGCTAGGCCAGACAGTTGTGCCTGATTTTATGACCTTTTTTGTCAAGGTTGTTAAAGGAATCACTGTAGTTGCTAAGTGGATCACACTGTCATTAAGCAAATCTGACTTGCTTGTCGGAAGTCGGAAGGTCACAAATGGCGATCACGTGGTCTCCAGGTTCTCCAACCATCAGAATCAGCAGGCCGGTTGCCAAGTACCTGGATTTTGATCACGAGATCATGGGAGCATTTACAATGTTCATAAGGGGGATGATCAGTCGTAAGTTGCCTTTTTCAGTGCCGTTGTAACTTTGAAGGGTTGCTAAAGGAATCGTTGTTAAGTCGAGGACTTCAGAATGGACCTGTGCGTTCCGAAGGCTGTTTTCAAGAGAGGAGGAGAACCATGTAGAAATAATAATAATTATTGCTTCCAGTTTTTACTTTTTCATGTCTTACTGTGTCCTACTTTGTGAATAGGTAAGACATGAAACAATAAAAATCTGTATTCTCTGTATTGCACCTATCACTGGGAAGTGGTGAGTCCTAGTCTCTTGTAGGCACAGTTGTTAAGTGAATCTGGCATCCACATTGATTTTGCTTGTCAGAAACCAGTTGGATGACTTTGGCTAAACTAGCCCCAGTATATCAATACCTCGGTAAATCTGTATTCTTTTCCTTTCCTTCCCCTCCATTATTCCTTCCCTCCCTCCTTCCTTCCTTCCTTCCTTCCTTCCTTCCTTCCTT